TCCCAGTTTTCTTATTTCTTCAGGATATCTCAGTTAAAGAACAAAAATCATACTGTTCCTCATAGTTATCAACTGATATTGCAGACTAAGAGATTAGAACTTCATCCTCCTGCCTAAAAAATATGGGAATTTAAATGCACTAAGGAGCAGCTATGTGCACTCTCAGCTCAGAAACAAATTTTCCTCTCAGGATATTCAAATCAACTAATCAAAGCAACAGCAGTAGGGCAGCACTTGTCAAAACCCAGACCACCGGGTTCCTCGAGCTGTCTGTGACCACACCAGTTCTACAGCACTAAGACTTTGCTCTCTTTCAATACAAGACTGTAGTCTACATCTGCCATTTGCCATTTCTCTTCCACCTCAGTCCAAAACCACTTATGTCCCCTAACACCACCCTTCTTTTTCACAATTTGTACCTCCTTCCATTACTATTTAAAATAATCAAACGTAACTTTGAGTTCTACATCCATTGGGAAGCACCTGAAATGACAGATTCCATAGAAAGTGAAAACTATATTGATAGACCACAGCTATTAATACTGATATTTTAAGGCAAGATACAAAATTATTTTTAAAAAAATCAGTAGCAGAGGCAAAAGTTTTGCCTACACATTTCACAAAGGCCATAGTTTGATGAGTGTAAGTTTCATTTACCTTCCCCTGTCCCCACTAAGTCTTCCCACCTCCACTTCAGTCCTCTCAGTTACACCAGTGCAATCACTTGAGTGGCTCCAAGACAAACCACATCAGAGAACTCATCTGGGTTAAACACCATCTTTTGTTTTAATTCTATTATTTTAATTTTAACCCAGACCAGTTCCCTGTTCAGTAGCTAAGCATGCAGCCAAGTCCACACAACCTCAGCACAATGCTGAAGTGGGAACAAACAGCTGGAACTGCTAAGGAAAAGTGATTGTCACAGCACAGAAAGAGGCTCAGCTGGATGCACTCTTCAGAGCAAATATTTAAAAGCAGAGCAAAAGATGCTATTAGGCTATAAAAACATAAATACAGCCAGTTATTGGCAGGACAGTGGGACCTGAAGTCACATCACTACCTCAGCAGGTAAACAAAATTATGAACTTTCCACCAAGGATAGCCTGCTCTGCATAAAGAGCCCAGCATTCCACAAACTGCAGTGCAGTGGGCATACACACGGCTTCCCTCCAGGAGCATGTTCCCAGAAACCTTCTGCTTGCAGAGCCTTTCACTCTTGTGAAATGTAGAAACCTGTACAAGAAGAATTAGGCTTACATTTCTTCTAATTCACAAACATTAAAATAAATTCAGCCAAATTTCAAGAGGAGAAAGGGTTATCTAGGAATGCTGTTTATATACCATCTAACATCTCAACACTTCCATTGCTACTTTTAGTGAAAAGGACATAAACAGTAAGCAACCTATCCAGTCACTGCCCAATGCCCGTGTTACCAGCTTCAGAACATGATCCACCTTCTCCATTTTTCCTGAAGAATATTTTATTGGAAGTCTAGCTTTATTTTTAGACATAATCTTAGTTAACTGTGGATGAATAATCAAAATTTTAAAATGCAGGAAAACAAAATATCTAAGCTTGATTACTTTTGCCTGATTCAAAGTTCTACTAAAAGGACTTTCTCTGAAGTTTACATTCCCTTTATATTCTGTTAAAAGGGGTCTCTCTCAGTGGCAAAAGTTGAATTTTGAGTAAGTCATGCTCTTAAGTAGTAGCATTTCCCCCCAACATGTTGCCTTCACAAAGAAGCAGACAGGACCTTCTTCTCTGCCCCCACATCAATCAGCCAGCTTTGGAAGTAACTACAAGCATGTACTGGAACTAATATTTAGTTTTACCTAAGCACTACCTCAGGACCAGAGTTTCCTTTTAAAAAAGTAGGGGGAACTCACCAAAAAAAAAAAAGCCCTAAATTAGTCAAATTCTTTTGTGCATGGATGAACAACAGGAAAGCAAAGCCTTGGGGCCTCTGGGGAGGAACCCTGTCCCTGCAGACCTACTCTGATGTGCTCGGGAGATAAGGCTCCATAGTGACACTTAAGGAAAGGCCTGCTCACATTTGAATTTCTGCATTCCTCAAGAACAATTCATGGCAATCACTAACTTTGCAGAGGAGCTACATGAAAGCTTTGGCCAATGAATGAGGGTCATCTGCTCTTTATCACAAGGGTAAACCTCATCCTGGCCAGTTTCTAACCTTTTAACCCTGTGAATTCTTAATTTGCACATGAATAATGGAATTCTTGCCAAGAGTGCAACCTTCAGCTTCCAGTTTCTAACTTTAGAAACCAAGACCTGATCTCCTTGTGTGTTCAGATCTTAAACTCTTGGACAGATTAAAGTTTTTGATTTCCAAATGCAACACTAAACATTACAATTCTGAAGCAAAAGATAAGCTTATTGGCAAAACCTCTGACCAGGCGAAGTAAAAGAACATCCTCACACCCCGCTGCTACCAGTAACTGAAGAGAGCATTTGCTTTTTTCCTCCAAAGAAAGAATGCCCATTTAATGCCTATTCTCCACCTGTTTAATATGTATAGTTCCCCCTGTACCCTGACCACAAGGTAATTTGCCTTTGCAGCAACCGACAACTGCTTCTAAAAAGAAAAATTGTAAGGCAACAAAATCCCCCATAAGACTTTCATTTATTTCACTTAAAATGTCTGCAAAGTTCAATCAGTTCATGAGAGCAGGCAGAAACACTGTGAAAATGAGAGAGAAATCTAATTTTGCACGTGTTTTATGGGCTCCAAATTATCACAATACAAATTACTGCCCAATTTCACAGCTTTACAGTAAAGATGACACTCTGAAATGGGTCAGATTGGTGCATGACTAAAGAGAAGGGACTGCTACATAGGATAACTTCATGTTTGGCCACTAGTTAACCACTTAATCACTAAGTCAACAGCACCTACTGTGATCATTATGGATCCGCTATCTCTTCCAGTTTTCTCCAACAGCCATAGAAAGCCTTTCAAGTATTCAAAGAAGAAAAAGAAACCTTTTGTCACAGTCTTGCAGAGGAGGGGAGGAAGGGGAAAAAAAGGGCTGCAAAACAAGAATCTCACTCCACAGCACACAATCTATTGGTTCACAGGACTTTTTTGGTGAAAATCAGCAAAGTTAAACCACCTTTCTGATGAAATAATGTGTATGCAAGAAATAAACATTTGCAGAAGTTCAGTATTGTCTGAATAAAACCAAACAAAAACAATTGTATTAACATGCTATTCTACTATAGTGCTCTGTACTACAATAGAAGTTCTGTGGTATTAAGCATAGAGCTCATCTTGCAATGTCTCCAGTTTAAAGTGGCCCTAAATTTTCCAGTCCTACCCGCAGAATCCATCAGCCACTACTTAGCTTTATGTTGGCTAACGACAACAAAAAAATCCTGTCCTCTTTAGGAGGGTTTTCTTGTCCAAATTTTAATCATGCTGACGCTCTGTAACTTAAGAGAGGTAAATTTAAATGTTAAAAATTGTAATACTTAATTTTTCACCATTTTACCAAAAGCACCCACAAATTACTTAGTCTAATCAATCCTGTATACAAGCAAGATAAAAAGTAACATGTAGACAGGTTTTTGAAATGGAGAACTCAGCGTTTCACATTCTTACACATGTGAAAACTCAGCACTCACTTGGAGCCACCTGCTTCCAGGATGGTTTTGAATCACCCAGAGCTCTGGCTCAATGAACAAGGCTTTTCACACCTTCCAGGGGGATCTCGTGGAAAGTTTTTGCAATCAGGTCAGAAGCACACAGAAAAAAGCCAACAAATGTTAACCTTCAGACATTTTTTAATGTAAACTAATGAACCAATTTCATTAACTAGTTTCAGATTGAATTTAGTAAAAGCTGCAACTTTGAACTAATGTCAAGTTTTCACAGAGGCACCAGCACTAGTTTTATTCAACTTGCTACTAAGAACAGGGTCGAAGAGGTCAAAGGAAGTCTTTTCCTATTAGATTAAGTTCATCAGTTAAGTCCTATTATAGAGGGAACATGAGAAGACTATATAAACTGTGTACTCTCTGTGTTATACTTTCTTTGAAATCTAAGTTTGCTTTACTTTGCCAAAATTTACTTTTCTTTGAAAAGTACATTTCCACGTACTTTTGGGAAGCAAAAGAAGATCACGCTGTAGAAGCAGTCTAGTGGCAAAGCTCTGCACTGCCATGGAAAAAGGCACAGCATTCCGTTCCTCACACATATCTCTTGCTCAATGTTTAAAGATGATAGGAAAATGGAGGGCAACAAACGCCCGGGGTCAAACACCCGTCTGTTAAAGCCATAAAGGCACTTAGACACAACTACTTCCTTCAGCATTCACCAGCAGTAGGGAGTCACTCCAGAAACACGGCTCTCCCTTCCCAGTGGAACCACAGAACAGGCCCTTGTGGGAGGCTCCAGAGGGACCTAAAGGGACAGCACCCACATCTGCTTGGCTAAACACGTGTCAGAAAAGCAAGGCCTTACAGTTGACCAGAAAACCTTTCCCCTCTTTCTTCTCCCAGAGATAAACATCTACATTAATCATTTCACCCTGCCCAAGATAGCATGGCACAACACAACATCAAGCTTGGAACAAGGAACTGAACAAGGAATTTCTTTTTCTTCTTTTTAAATCAGATCCGTAGATAACCCTCATAAGGCTGCTAGAACAGCACTTGGGGAAAAAAGACCCAGGAGTTCTGCAGTCAGCATAACTCCGCATCACCACCTGCTCCACAGACCAATGGCACACGTAAGCCACCCACACAAGGCACCACTGCCCAAGAGGTCTCCTGTGCCACTTCTGCCACATCAGGGACTGAAAAGGCACCACCATAAGTTTTTCCCAAAATCTTTAAACATCTAGAAAAAAGTAAAGGTTCTCTATAATTTTTCATTTTAACTTTTTGGGTACACAATCAAAATGATGGGTTGTGTGCTGTTCAGGGAATTGCTGTCACAAACTCAGGAGCAGGTTAATAAACAGGAGCTGGGACTTACTTGCTAGTGTGAGGTGACTTTTTTGACTGAGAATGGCCCCGTATTTGTTCAGAGCTAAGCACTGGTAAAATCCTTCATCAGACAGTTCTCCCTTCTTTCCTTCCACCTCAGTGATATACAACGAGCCATTGGATAAAGTGTAGATCCGTTCATTTTCAGACACTTTGCCTCCATTTTTCAGCCATGTAATTGTTACAGGAGCTTCTCCACGGGCTTGGCAGTCTAAAACCACCGGATCCTTCCTCGACACAGTAACGTCCTGAGGCTCTTTCACAAAAAACAGTTCACTAAAGCACCACACTCCTAAGAGAGAAGAAAGAAGAAAACAACAAAAACAACAAAACATTTTGCCCGTAAGGACAGACGTGTAAGCGGAGGCGTGCAAGTCACCCAGCGCTGTGAGCTGCGGGTCATCCCGCGGAACCCTCAGCACGAGGTGAAGCCATCGCTATCGCGCACTCCGAGCGCTCCCAACTCCGACAACTCTAGGGAAACTTGGCGCTGACTCCAAGCGGCGCGCAGCCCTCAGGCCAAGGAGCCAGAGACCCAGCGCCTTCCACCCCGGCCCGGACACCGCCG